TATGTAATGCGGATTCCAGACTATGAGCTCTATTCAAGTATTGATCTAGCAAATGTTTTGTATGCTCTAGTTAGTAGTGTGATATTACTGGAGAAAAAGCTACGTAGGATGAGGTTAATAACTCTTAATGCCTTTTTGGCTATGTAGTTACAGTGGGCTCTAGCACTTAGATCATTAGAGATGAGTACTCCAAGGTCCTTGACAAAGTTGGGGTCATCAACAAGGTCTTGATTATTCAGCTTGTATTTTATTTTCTGATTTTTTTTGCCGATATATAAGACAGAGCATTTGTTTGTTGAGATTTGAAGTTGCCATTTGTTTGACCATTCTGATACATAGTTGAGATCATTTTGAAGGGTAGCAGTATTGTCAATGGTGTTGAATAGCTTTACATCATCAGCAAAAAGAACACAGTTGCTCTTAATATGATCACAGGGGTCATTCATGTAAAGTATAAAGAGAGCTGCCTTGGGGAACACCACTGTTGACAGGTACAGGATTTGATAGGGTGTTCCCTATTTTAACCATTTGTTGCCTGTTTGACAGGAATGCATCTATCCAGCTATGCAGGTGTCTGGAGATGCCATAAGATTTTAGTTTTAGGAGTTCCGGTTTGAGCCTCTTCGGTGATAGACCGAAATCCATGATTGTGTGTGGCTTTGATCTGGGCTTGCCGCTGGAGTGCCCCGAGCCAGCTGGTTTCGGGGCTAAGCCACCCCGTAGAGGTGGAGAAGAGGGGGGAGACTGCCAGCAGGGTTGAGGAGAGCCGCATCTCTCCTCCTCAGCTGGCCATTACTCCCTTTCCCAAAGGCGGTTGCAGCGGTGGTCAGAAATGGCCACCCCAAAGAAGAACTCGACCGGAAAAGAATGTGCAGGAGGAAGATAAGAAGTGAAAGTTTTGGCTGACCGGGTTAAACTGCAATCAACAACTAAGGTACCCTGGAATTTAAATTTTTTAAAAAAGTAACACTGTTCCCAAAGAAGATTCTGAAGCAGCGAAGGAAAGTGAAAAGGGAAAGGATCCGTTTTTTTTTCTTCTCTCCCTTTCCCTATACTGACAGTTAAGAAACTTAAATAAGAAATTGGAAAAAAAAAATCCGCTTTGACACCAACAAGCAAGTAAGCTGAAAATAAAATAAAATGTCAAAGGGATAATAAAGATTTCTGGATACTTAAAAGCTTTTAAAAGCAGGAAAGGAGAGAAAAAGAATAAAAGGGCAGGATCTGGAAAAAAGGGAGGAGATTGCCTGGAATTAAAAGGAATTTACAGTAAAACTTCAACAAGACTTCTAAAAGATACATTTTAACTGAAACTTGGCAACTAAATATTAAAACCCCAGGAAGAGAAAGTGAGAAAAAAAAAGCAAAAAGAAACAGCTTGGGTGTATTTGGATTCCTTGGTGATCTTTGGATTCTTGGTGGATTGCATTTGAATGACTAGAATCAATCGGGTGGTTGTTTAAATTTTTTTTTACAATGGCACTACTTTTGGATGAATTGAAAATGGAACTTAAAAAGTACAAAGAAGATGCACAAGAAGGGAGAGGTTCTTTTGGCTTCGTATTTCAATTCTTAGAAATGGAGATTTGGAACTATGAGAAACAACAGGAAAAGACTGCAAAACAAGAAGACTGGGACAAAGAAGAAGCCATCTTTAATGAACAAGTAATTCTATGTGGGGAAGAAAAAGGAAAGAGGGGAAAGAGAATGAAAAATTTAAGACTTGAAAAAACAACCAAAGAATAGAAAAATAGTTCGAAAAATAAGTATAAAATTGGAAAGCAACAGAAGAGGGGAATACAGAAGAGAGAAGTAGAGGTAGAGAGACAAGGGGGTAAAAGGGGGAGGGAGAAGAAGAGAGGGAAGAAGGAAAGGAAAAGAAGTTACAAAGGACAGAAACAAGATATAGAGAAACAGGGTCTATTTAGAGATAATGGGTGAAAATTTAACTGAAAAGGGGATTCTGTAAAGGTACATAAGATTGTATTGTTATATTAGTAATAGAAATAATTTTAGAAAATTGGAAACAATGTATGATTAAAATGAGGGATAAAATAGTTAGTGTAATTTAGTGAAATGTTTGTTAATAAAATAAATGAAATAAAATAAATGAGAGAATTGAATTAGGAAAGGATGGGAACATTTTAATTAGTCAATGTTTTATAAAATATAAGTGAAGGGGGGGAATTAATTATGGAAAGCTTATAACTGTTCCCATAGAAGTATGATATTTAATTGAAAAGTAATGTTAAAGAAGTTAAGATTTTAATGAACATTAATATTAATGATAGAATTGAATTGGAATGGAATGCGTTGTTTTAACTACATATATTTATAATCTTTTTTTTAAAGAATATAGTGTGTATTTTAAGAATGTACCAAGCAGAAGCCGAATGGAAGTTATGTATTATATTGAATGTTATAACTTTAAGGTATATATTGAAGCTTAAATAAGAGTTAAATGGATAAAATTAAGAGATATAAAGGTGTCATATTCCAATCAGCAACCACAGGAGAAACTTTGTTTAATGTGAAAAGATAATATGAAATTGAAACAGGGCAGACAAAAAGTATAAATATAATGATTTGAATTGAGATGAGATAATTAAAATAAAATTGAGAAAATTAAAAGAGGGGAGAAGCTATGTAGAAAATGTAAGACAGTAATAAGATATGGAATAGAATATAAAAAGGAGCATGAAACTGAATTTGTGTCTGTACGAAGAAATATAACCCGGGATCATGCTACTTTCAAAAAAGATGTTTTATTTGTATTTCTTTGTGAAAACTCAAATAAAATTCACACACAAAAAAAAGATTTTAGTTTTAGGAGTAGTTTGTCGTGCACCACTGAATCAAAGGCTTTACAGAAGTCTATGTAAATAGTGTCAATTACTTTGCCCTGGTCAAGTTGTGTAGTCCATATGTTTTTGCAGTGTACGAGTTGCAGATTACAGGATAGTTTTTTCCTGAAACCAAATTGTTTGTTAAAGAGTAGGTTGTTTGTCTCTAAGTGGAAGATAATGAATTGGTTAATAATTGATTCCATGACTTTACAGGTGACGCAACATAAAGATATTGGTCTGTAATTTTCAACTAGGCTGGGGTCTCCCTTTTTGAAGCTGGGGATGACTGTAGCTACTGGCCATAGGTTTGGCAAGGAGCTGGTCCTGAAAGATTTTTCAAAGATTATGCTTAGAGGTTCTGCTATGGAAGTGGACAGCTTTTTTAAGAAGTAGGCACATATTCCCTCCAGTCCAATAGATAGAGATGGTTTTAGATTGCGTAGTGCTTTTTCAACATTATCTTCTGTAAAATCTATATGTAGTAGATCATTGTAGTTGTCTGTGGTTCGACTAGCAAATATTGGGCATGATCCACTGCTGTTTACAAAGACTGAGCCAAAGAATGTGTTAAACAGGTTGGCTTTAATGGTGTCATCGTTACAGTCTTTACTGTTAGGTCCTTTCAGGGGTGGGATGGATCTTGAGTCTTTTAGTTTGTTGTTTACAAAATTGTAGAAAGTGCAGGTGGAATTGCTGCGTAGAAGGTTTTCCTCTTGCTTAATGTGATAATTGGTGCATTCAGTCTTTATCTGGTGGCATAAATTTTTGTATCAGCTTTTAAAGTTGGCAACGTGACCAGATTTGTTTTTCTGCCTAAGGGATTTCTTTTTGGATTGGAGCTTCCTTATTGTAAGGGGGATTTTTGTTTGTTTGTTTTGGTGCACATTTTTTTATGTGTGCACATGCTTACAAATGCAATTCCACGTAGGGCACTTGCTAGTCTTGGATGTTTGCATATAATACATGCTTGATTCCAAATACATGGAAGATTAAGATTTTAGAATAGTAAGTCATTATAAAACAATAGTTTTGAAATGTAGAAGTACTATTATTCCACTACACATTTTATTTAAGATTCCATTATAAAAACAGGAAATTGCCTTCTAATGTTTACATCACAACCATGGAAAGTGTGCAGAGAAGAGCAACAAAGATGATAAAGGGTCTGTAGCTGAAATCGTATGATGAACGGTTGAGAGAGCTAGGTATGTCCAGCCTATCAAAGGGAAAGATTAAGGAAAACATGATAACTGTCTTCCAGTACTTGAAGGGCAATCACAGAGAAGGGATCGACTTATTCTCCAAAGCACAAGAGGGCAGGACAAATAGTAATGGATGGAAGTTTGTTAAAGAGAGATCCAGAAGTAAGGAGACGTTTTCTGACCATGAGAACAATTAATCAGTGGAATAGCTTGCCATTCAGAGTTGTGGATTCTCCATCACTGGAGGTTTTCAAAAATAAAGGAGCAACCATTTGACTGGGATGGTATAAGGTCTCCTGCCTCGAACAGCAGGCTGGACTGAAAGATTTCCAAGGTTCTTTCCAACCAGAGGTGGTATTCAGCAGGTTCTGACCAGTTCTGGAGAACCGGTAGCGGAAATTTTGAGTAGTTCTGAGAACTGGCAAATACCACCTCTGACTGGCCCTGCCCCCATCTATTCTCTGCCTCCCAAGTCCCAGCTGATCCGCTGGGTCTTCTTTTGTTGCCCTGCACAGGAGAACGGAGCTGGAAAGCAGGTTAGTGGGATGGGGAGGGAATGGGATTTTGCAGTAATCTTCCCCTGGAGTGGGGTGGGAATGGAGATCCTTCCACTGCCATGCCCGCCAAGACATGCCCACAGAAATGGTAATAAAAAAAATTGGAATCCAAGTACTGTTTCCAACCCTATGATTCTGTGATAATATGTATGATTTGTTTCTCTACTTTTTTAAAGCACAGAAAGGCAACAACTTGTCAAATTGCCAGTCTTGTCTTCATCTATATTTACCAATTATTTGCAGCCCCCTGATCCAATTCACTACATCAAAGTGGTTCTCGTTTCAATACATGAACCTGCTGCAATTGAACGAGTCAACCAAAGCTTTGCAGACCTCATAATTCTCATAAATTGTTCTCTTTACTGAATAAATCCCGCCTTTCCTTTTTTTTTTAGGCTTTGTGGACTTAACACTCCATGACCAAGTTCACCTACTAGAATGTGCCTGGTTAGAGATATTGATGATTGGCCTAGTGTGGAGATCTGTGGAGCATCCCGGAAAGCTGCTGTTTGCCCCCAACTTATTGTTGGACAGGTTTGTCTACAGGGTGGTAATATTATTGCTGTTGTGGTAAATGTCACACTATGCAACACAACTGCAACCATTTTCTATCCATTTTGCTACTTTATTTAGCATATGGCAAATTCGTGGATTTATAGTGGTTCAAATGTAATGTTTGCTACTGATGAGATCCTATAGTCAAAAGAAGAGAAGAGTTACTGCAATTAAAAAAAACACACCTGCTAAATATGCAAGCCTCTTTAAGCTCCTTTGTAATAACGTGGTGTTTTTCTTTGGAATAGTAAATCACTTCTTATATTTATGCTTTTGTTTTATGGCTGGATTTTGAGATTCACTTTATGAACTATTACTTCCTTATTTTATGCATCACCTAATATATTTTATATAGGATAATTGTATAACGGGTCTAGTTTTATTTTGAGTCTATGCACCTTTATTTTTATGTAATATCTTTCTGAGGAGGCTGTAAACCGCCCATAGCCTATTCAAATGGGGAGCCATAATATTTAAATAATTAAGATTAGTTTGCCTATTATGTACTCTCATAGCTTTGACATGTTATTATTTTGATTATTAGCGCCAGCTATGGCAATTGGTGGCTCAGTGGCTAAGACGCTGAGCTTGTTGATCAGAAAAGTCGGCAGTTCGGCGGTTCGAATCCCTAGCACCGTGTAACAGAGTGAGCTCCCGTTACTTGTCCCAGCTTCTGCCAACCTAGCAGTTCGAAAGCATGTAAAAATGCAAGTAGAAAAATAAGGACCACTTTGGTGGGAAGGTAACAGTGTTCCGTGCGCCTTCAGCGTTTAGTCATGCTGGCCACATGACCATGGAGACATCTTTGGACAGCGCTGGCTCTTCGGCTTTGTAACAGAGATGAGCACCACCCCCTAGAGCCGGAAATGACTAGCACATATATGCGAGGGGAACCTTTACCTTTACCTATGGCAGTTGACAACTATACTCTGACTGATTTTGTATGTTTCTCCCTCTTTATCGGGTGACTTTTGAAAAACCTTTGACATTCTATTGTTTTATACTTGGCCGTTGGCCATAATAAAGTTGAAATTTCAAGTTTCATAGATATATTCCAGTAGTAGTCTTAAACTCAGTGTACCTAGGCATATGAAATTAAGGAAGCGGGAAACAGACCAAAATAACTTTGATGTTGGGTCTCCTGAACTGTAGGAACACTAATTCTGATGGTGGGGCGAAAAAATTAGCCAATCTGTCTCATTCTCTGCACTTCCGTGGTTAAGTCTTTCAAGACAGTTTACAACCAATATTAAAAGATACAATTTTTGAGTTTATATGGTATAAAGCAATTTGATAGCTAAGGAATTCAATATGATTCATAAAACATACTACTAATAAACGTATTATGATTCAAAACTATAAAAATTCCAATTAAAATAATGAAGAAAATGTGGTTCCCAAATTTTAAAGACTAATATTGTTTAAAATGTTATTTACAAGAAGAATCCAGTGCAGAGATCAAAAGCAGCCAAGATTAAGGTTCAAACCTCAGAGAAAATTTCTTCTTGGTATGAGGTATACAATTCTAGGCAAAGGTAGGATATTTGATTTGGAAGTGTAGCAACAATACATTATTTGTTACATATTTCAAAGCCATTTCTCTGTTTGTCTTGCTTGTACTCAAAGGCTTAGAACCAAGAAAAAATACTTCACATGTTTTTTCTCTTTTGACAATATTTTTTTCATTAATTCCAAATGATCTAAATTATAAGTCAGGAGCCATTATTCTATTCTGTGGGTTTTTTTAAAAAAAAGTTCCAACTCAGAAATTATTATAAAAATTACCACCTAATAGTCTTACTTTCTCCATCCAGCATGTTATGTAAAACATAACATGATAGATTTATGTAAAAATATAAATGGTTTTATGTGGACGCCTAAAAGGAAAGTGTAGAAGGCACACTGTCTGTCTGTCAGCTGTCTTGTTATGAAAATAGGAGATTTGTTCTTGAACTTCACTTGGCAATATTTGACATGTTGAAAACACCACATGCTCTATTCCAGCAGGCTTGGTAAAAAGAATTCTCCACCTAACAACTGTCATTTGCAAGGATATTTATGTTAGAAAAGTTACAGCATAAACTGTTTATTATTCTGAGATTTTGAAATTCTTTCTTCTGGGAGACCTGCTGAGCCTTTATTTCATGTATGCACGTATTTATAAAATGTATAGACCGCCCATCTAACCTCAAAGTAACTCTTTTGAATATGCTTCCCCTATCCCTGCTTTTATCTTTAAGTAAACTAGGAACAATCAAGTCTGAGACCTGTTCTCAAATTAGGTTTTTGCTTTGATGTCAAATTTCCTTTATCTGATCATTATCTCGATTGCAACTCTTCCTCCTGTTCCTAAAAGTGACTTCTTCTGCTCATTACAGCTGCCATGATATACATGGGTAAAGAGTCACTTCCCATGAGGGGCAAGACAACAACCATATTGTGTGGATTTTAAAAAATGTAATTTTGGGTGAAAGAACCTCTACAATCAGTTCTTCCTCAGAATTACCCCTTGAAAAGATACTTATTCACATGACACCCCAAAAATACTCAAATGTCTTTGATGATTACTATGAAATACACTGCTCAAAAAAAATAAAGGGAACACTTAAACAACACAATGTAACTCCAAGTCAATCACACTTCTGTGAAATCAAACTGTCCACTTAGGTAGCAACACTGATTGACAATCAATTTCACATTCTGTTGTGCAAATGGAATAGACAACAGGTGGAAAGCATAGGCAGGTAGCAAGACATCCCCAATAAAGGAGTGGTTCTGCAGGTGGTGACCACAGACCACTTCTCAGTTCCTATGCTTTCTGTCTGATGGTTTGGTCACTTTTGAATACTGGCTGTGCTTTCACTCTAGTGGTATCATGAGACGGAGTCTACAACCCACACAAGTGGCTCAGGTAGTACGGCTCATCCAGGATGGCACATCAATGCCTTCTTGTGGCAAGAAGGTTTGCTGTGTCTGTCAGCGTAGTGTCCAGAGCATGGAGGCACTACCAGGAGACAGGCCAGTACATCAGGAGACGTGGAGGAGGCTGTAGGAGGGCAACAACCCAGCATCAGGACCGCTACCTCTGCCTTTGTGCAAGGAGGGACAGGAGGAGCACTGCCAGAGCCCTGCAAAATGACCTCCAGCGGGCCACAAATGTGCATGTGGCTGCTCAAACGGTCAGAAACAGACTCCATGAGGGTGGTATGAGGGCCCGACGTCCACAGGTGGGGGTTGTGCTTACAGCCCAACACCATGCAGGACGTTTGGCATTTGCCAGAAAACACCAAGATTGGCAAATTCGCCACTGGCTCCCTGTGCTCTTCACAGATGAAAGCAGGTTCACACTGAACAGATGTGACAGGGTCTGGAGATGCCATGGAGAACGTTCTGCCACCTGCAACGTCCTCCAGCATGACCGGTTTGGCAGTGGGTCAGTAATGGTGTGGGGTGGCATTTCTTTAGGGGGCCGCACAGCCCTCCATGTGCTCGCCAGAGGTAGCCTGACTGCCATTAGGTACTGAGATGAAATCCTCAGGCCCCTTGTGAGACCATATGCTGGTGCAGTTGGCCCTGGATTCCTCCTAATGCAAGACAATGCTAGACTTCATGTGGCTGGAGTGTGTCAGCAGTTCCTGCAAGACGAAGGCATTGATGCTATGGCCTGCCCGTTCCCCAGACCTGAATCCCATTGAGCACATCTGGGACATCATGTCTCACTCCATCCATCAACGCCACGTTGCACCACAGACTGTCCAGGAGTTGGGGGATGCTTTAGTCCAGGTGTGGGAGGAGATCTCTCAGGAAACCATCCGCCATCTCATCAGGAGCATGCCCAGGCGTTGTAGGGAGGTCATACAGGCACGTGGAGGCCACACAGAATACTGAGCCTCATTTTGACTTGTTTTAAGGACATTACGTCAAAGTTGGATCAGCCTGTAGTGTTTTTTTCCACTTTAATTTTGAGTGTAACTCCAAATCCAGACCTCCATGGGTTGCTAAATTTGATTTCCATTGATAATTTTTGTGTGATTTTGTTGTCAGCACATTCAACTATGTAATGAACAAAGTATTTAATAAGAATATTTCATTCATTCAGATCTAGGATGTCTTATTTTTGTGTTCCCTTTATTTTTTTGAGCAGTGTATTATCTGATAACTTCAAAAGTAGGCTGTGGCTTATGAAAACTTATGCCATAATAAATTTGCTAGCCTGTAACCAGGATTGGCACTACATATTTAATATTAATGGAACCTAAGTTTTTGGAAAAGAGAATGAATAGAAAGAACTTTTCCTTTGGAATATCTAGGTCAATGTCTGAAGCAGATTTCTGGAGCAGCAAATCTAATTGAAATCAGTGCAACTTACTTTTGTGCAAATAGAGTTATGATTGCATTCTTACTTAGCCAACAATATTTCATCCTTCTGATTTTGGATCACTACCTGATAATGGACTGAAATATATTCCTGAAATAATATTGTCTACTAGTGAAATAGTAGCTATATGAAAGACAGTAAGGCAGGGGAGAGAACAGAAATATTTATTTTTTCAGGAAAAATTAAACCTTGCCTAACTTTCCATTGAGATATTTTTCCCTGTATGTATTGGCAATGAAAACAAGATATAAAGTTTTTTTTAAAAAAATAAAACTAGGTTCATATTCAGACTGAGTTCTTAAGCACGCTAAATAAGAAGTAAGCAATATTGATAACAGGGATGCTTATTTTTGAGTAAACATGGTATTATGGTCAGAGTTATATTCTATTGGCTGTTTAAAATGAAGAAATATTGATTTTTAAAAACCCAAGGCTATTAATTTTCCATTTGCCCAAACTCTGACCAGCAATACCAATTCTTCATGAATCAATGTATAAGAAATCCACTTCCTACCTTGACCTACCTATTTTCCAAGTTGCTATTTTAGATTTTGAAGTAATTTTGTTGAGGAGTGTTTTTAAGACATCTCACAGTAAAAGC